TCTATTCTCTTGTTTTAATGAGGGTAAGCCCATGTTCAGTGTTAATGACCCATGTTTTGGAAGCTACTGTACAAAGGGCAGTGAAACTACTTTTAAGTGAATACGAATTACAGATGTTAATGCTGCCTTCTCCAGCTCAGCTCTCTGTCGGTAGGCACAAGGAACCTGTGGTCGGCAGGTGTTTTCTGCCTGACGTGGCTGTCAGCAACCACAGCTGTGTGAGATGGAGTCTGGCTCTACCACGGCCCATTTTAGCACACCAGCTGGAGGAGCTAAAGATGGAAACAAACTTAACCTGCTTTTTGGCGTTAATCTGGCTCTTTGTATTTTTTCTGTAGGTATGTTGGACATTTTTCAGCATATCTATAATTGTGTGATTTCTTCCGTTAGACCAGGGCTGGGGAACCTTCTTTCTGTCAAGAGCTACTTGGATTTTTATAGCATCAATTGTGGGCCATACAAAATTATCAACTTAAACATTAGCCTGCAGTAAGTTTATTGAATTGCGAGTTCTACACACAGTTGCCTTGGCAGGATGAGCCCAAATGATTCTGTGGGCGTATAATGCCTATAAGGGTCTGTGGGCTGAGTATTCCCCACCCCGTTTAGGCAGTAGAAGCTTCAGACCTCCCTAAGTAACCCCTTACATGAAATCTCAGTAATGGGTTCTTGAGGCTTCTCCCCACAACGTGTGGGACAGCATTGGTCATCTGAGCACTCAGATCCCACTCCTGGGAAGAGTTTGGGAAGGGAAAAGGCAGTGAAGGTATAGAATAGGCAAGAGACAGTCCTCTTCTTCCATTTGATTGCTGGTCGCTCAGTCTGGCTTTGAGAACTTGCCCCATCAATCCTCCATGGTTGTCCTTCTTGGGAAGCCGTATGAATTTCAAACAAGGTGAATCCCTTTTGCTCAAAGGACTTGATAATCTCCCTCATGAGGTCTCACTGGATCCCAGCAAGCTTGATGGCCATGCAGGTGCACTCACTATTAGCTATGTGCCAACAGCAGCAACAGAGCTGTGGCGTTGACTTCAACTGCAGACACCAGCACCAGAAATATACCTGGGTCCCACATGGTTCCAGGTGATGATCATATAATTTCACCAGTTATTCCTGTTCTTGGTTCCCAACAGATCAATCAGGTCACTGTACTAACATCAGGAAGTTGTCTAGTTAATACCTATTTATGCTTTAATTTCTGCAGAGGATAAAAGCAAAAGCAATCAGTAATAATGTTATGGTTTATCTTAGGATTTCTCTAAGAGTGAGTTTTGAGTTCCATTGTGAAAAGCTTTTCCGTGGGGCTAGTGTTGTGCTGCAGCAAGTTAAGTCTCTAATTGTGACATGGCCATCTTAGCATGCAGGTTCAAATCCTGGCTGCTCTGCTTCTGATCTAGCTTCCTGCTAATGAGCCTGGGGAGGCAGAGTACTTCAGCCTTTGCAAGCCATCTAGGAGACTAGAATGGAGCTCCTGGCTCCTGGCTTCGGCCTGGCCCAGACCAAACTGTTGTACCAATTTGGGGAAGTGAACCAGTGGATGGAAGATATTCTCTCTTTTTTTTTTTTTAAATTTTTTTTGACAGGCAGAGTGGACAGTGAGAGAGAGAGAGACAGAGAGAAAGATCTTCCTTTGCTGTTGGTTCACCCTCCAATGGCCGTTGCGGCCAGCGCACCGCGCTGATCTGAAGGCAGGAGCCAGGTGCTTCTCCTGGTCTCCCATGGGGTGCAGGTCCCAAGCACTTGGGCCATCCTCCACTGCACTCCCTGGCCACAGCAGAGAGCTGGCCTGGAAGAGGGGCAACCTGGACAGAATCCGGCGCCCTGACCAGGACTAGAACCCGGTGTTCCGGCGCCACAAGGCAGAGGATTAGCCTAGTGAGCCACGGCACCGGCCGAAGATATTCTCTCTCTCTCTCTCTCTCTCTCCCTCTTTCCCTCTTTTCTTTCCTCCCTCCCTCCCTACCTCTTTTCTAACACTCTGCATTTCAAATAAACTTTAAAAAAAATTTTTTAGTAAAAAATATGCTTTCATACATCTCTATTGAAATACAAGGTGCTCTGAAAGTTGTCAACAATGTCCAAGTGGTGTATTTGTCCACAGGGACCTTTTTTTTTTTTAACAGATTGATCTATCTATCTATCTATCTATCATCTCTCTCTCTCTCTCTCTCTATATATATATATATATTTAGAGAGAGTGATAAGCGACACACATACAAAGAGAGAGAGATCGTCCATTGCTGATTCACTCCCCAAATGGCCACAACTGACAGGGCTGGGCCATAGTCAAACCAGGAGCTAGGGGCTTCATCCGGGTCTCTTACATGGGTACAGGGTCTCAAACACTTGGGCCATCACCTGCTACTTTTCCCAGGCCATAGCGGGGAGCTGACTTGGAAGTAGAGCAGCTGGGACACAAACAGGATGCTGACCTCACCGGTGGTGGATCTACCTGCCACAACACAATGCAAGTCTTATAGAAGCCCCTTTTAGAAGTATTGTATGAAATTATACACAAGGATATGTATACACAGGAATACAGGTAGCTTTTGTAAGAATTTTTAGTGAACTGAATACTTATGTTACCAAAAGGATTAATTCATGAAGTGAGTCCTATGAATGATTCGATACGGAGACCTGGAGTTTGTGGGTAGTGGCCTGTTCCTAGGACTGTGCATCCTTGGAGAGGGTGGCCACCAAGCACACCAAGCAGCAGGGGTGAGAACAGCGCCACTGGCTCTGCTAACTTTCTCTCATTAGCCTTGTTGCAGCTTCAGCAGCCACCAGGCTCTCCCGCAGCAGCTGGGGAGACTTTCTGGCCTGCCATCTGTCTCCCGGCTGCTTGGCTTGGAGAGCAGCCATCATCAACTACTGCGTTTACTTACAACACTCTCTGCAAGCTTTCACAGTGAACTGTGCGAAGGAAACTCCCCAGACAGAGTAAAGTGTTCAGTGTTAGCACTTGTAACAAACCTCTGATACCAAGGGAAAGACACTTTCAATCTCATGTGAGAGATGTGAGAGATGTTTAGAGATACCTAGGCTTCTAGTTATGGCGCAGATTTTTTTAAAATTATCATTCATGATTTCATTTCTAACTTCTCATTATGGAGGATTTTCAAGCATTACAAAACCTGAGAGAATAGACCAACAGAGCCCCGTGTCCCTATCATTCAACAATGTCAATAAAATACTCACAGCCAATCTCCTGTTGCGTAATTTCCACTCAGACAAATAGTTCTTTTTTTTTTTTTTTTTAACAAAACAGCTGATCTATTTAACAGCGATTTGGCAGAGTGAATCCATCATAATGGTAGTATTTGAAGGTGACTCTGCCTTTAAGCTACACAAAGTAGGTGTGGATGAGAGAAACACAGAAAGAATGAATTGCAGATCGTATTAGTCAGCTTTCAGTTACTATAACTAAATAGCTGACACAGCCTACCTCTGAAGGAAGGGGGTTTATTTAACCTTACAGTTTTGGAAGTTCACAGTCCAAGACTGGGTAATCCTATTGGTGTCTATTTAGGGCAGTGGATGGCAGAGTACTTGTGCAGGGGGGATCGTCACAGGAAGCAACGAGAACAGCTATGTCCAACCCAACTTTTATAAACACCCCTCTCTGAAGAGCTACTTGCCGAAGGCATGACCCAGTGTCCTAAGGACTACCCACGAGGCCCATATCCTAAACACCATAGTTGGATCAAATCTTTACCCTCAACCCATTAACCATCAACATTAATGAATTAATCATTGACATAAGACTTTGGGGACCAAATCTTCAACATACAGGCCTTTGCAGGGACACAATATAATGCCTAACTCATAGCACAGATAAAGCAATGTTATAAGTGTTTTGTAATGGGAACTTACAAGGAGTGTCACTGGGTTGAGGAAGAACTTAAGAGAAAAAGATGATGGGGGGGGGGGGGCTGACACTGTGGCGTAGTAGGCTAAGCCTCTACCTGTGGCACCGGAATCCCATATGGGTGTCAGTTCAAGTCCTTACTGCTCCTCTTCTGGTACAGCTCTCTGCTATGGCCTGGGAAAGCAGTGGAAGATGGCCCAAGTGCTTGGGCTCCTGCACCTGCATGGGAGGCCTGAAAGAAACTCCTGGCTCCTGGATTTGGATTGGCTTAGCTCTAGCTATTGCAGCCGTCTGTGGAGTGAGCCAGTGGATGGAAGACCTTTCTCTCTGCCTCTCCCTTTCCCTGTAACTCTACCTCTCAAGTAAATAAATAAAATATTTTAATAATGATGATGGAGGAATATAGTGAGTTCTGGGGAAAATGGAGTACTACTTAAAAGAGAAAAGAGAAAACATGTAGAATAGTACAAATTCAAAAAGGATGGAATGATCAACACAGTTAATCCAAAAACATGACTAAAGTTGAGTGTAAATTGTGGCAGTCAGTTGGACCACGATAGGAAAAAATCTCTTGGAACAATGAATTTGGGTCCCCTGGGCTAAAATCTATATACAATTCCTTATTTGTGGTTCCCCTGGAGGAATGTAATCACCCTTTGCATAAACTATACAGCAAGTATTCAATTCAAATATTTTATTTCTGATATTATTTGTAATTATATTCAGTTTAGTTTGAGTAGTGTTAATGCTTTCCAAAAAATCATTTAAATCTATAAGTACTTTTGTTCATAATATATAGCCTGTTTGTATTCTCCTGGATAATTTTATTGCATCTTTGAGATGTGTCTTATATTTTCCCCAAGATTAATTAAACACTAATGTCTCACTCATACTTTGATTCATTCATTAACTAATGTTTAATGTTTATTATGTGCAAGATACCAGTGGAGGCCAGGATTCTTAGGAGCCTTTGTCATCTGAAAGGGTGGAGATGGCCAGGCAAAGTGGAGTCTAGAAGGCCACTAAGTGGCACTGGTACTCAGAGTGACCCACCCTGCTGTAGAAAAAGGAGTTTAGGACACTGAAGATACCCACTGTGGGTCCAGCAGAGGAGTACACAGCATGAGCCTACCTTCCAAAGAACATTCCTGAATTCAGACCCTAGCTCTGTCCTGTTGAGTCCTGGAGACCTTGGGCATGTTGACTTGCTTCTGCCTTGGGTCCTTGTCCACCTTGTAGCCACCTCCTGGCATGGCGATGAATTAGAGCACGAGGTTTAAGTAAGTGGTCACTAAAGTCAGTACTCTTTTTCAGCAAGGGGCACCAACTGCTAACTGGCCAGAAGGAGCATTTGACCTTCTGGGCAGAGTACTTGAGGCTTCGAGCAGGGCGCCATGGGTGCTGTGGGAGCAAGGGGAAGATGGAACCTCCCTTTATTATGACGTCGTGGTCAGGGATATGGCAGTGTCATAATAAGGGGATGATGACTGGACCTGTGCTGAAGGGATAGTGCAGCCTGCTAAGTATAGGAACGACAATTTCAGGAGGGGGTAGGATGTAGGTTTGAATGAACCTGGTGAGAAATGCCAGGTGGGCAGCAGGGTGCCTGGAACCTGAAAGAGGGCTGATGGGACCTCAATTGAAGGGGCTACCATGTGCTGCTCATGGAACAAAGAAATTCTTTACTATCTTTTGAATCCTAGATGTCCTGGGAGAACTTGGGATGTCATCTGTCCTTTCCTTAACAGATTCAGGATTGGAAAGGTGAGGTGCCAAGTCTCTGGCCACCAACTGGTTCGCCACGAATAGGGCTGGCTCTTGAACCTGGCTTTCTGAATTCCAAGTCCTGTCTTTGCTGCCTGCCTTGCTCAGGGAACAAAATAATAAACACGTATTGAGCACCCATCCACCTTGTGCAAGGTGACAGGCTGCTCCCTTTTGGATGAAGAAGGAAAGAGCTCAGGTCAAGGGGAAAACTGCTCCAGTATTGCTCTTCTCCGTGATGAGTAAAGTTGTCACTTTATATTCAACCTTCTTGTAAGGTCAGGGAATGACAACACATTATTCACCCCTGGTTGTTTGCTAAGCAAATACAAAGTTTGTATGTTGGCGTGAACCCAGTGTTCAGTTTGAGAACTCTCAAGTTGCAGCTTTCAGGCAGTGGAAGAGAGTGAGAGATACTGAGATGTGATAAGGAAGGGGCGTGTCGGCTCTATGCAAAACCAGCCACGTGTTAATTACATGGAAAAATGTGCACTGATGTGTTTTCTTAATGCCTTTTTTCCATTGCCTTTATAAAGGGGATGCAAGTGTCTGTTCTTAGTTTTGAATGGTTTCAGCAGTGTGCTTCTTAAATTTGTTGGAAACATTCTGCAGGTACATTATACTTTGAAGGAAATCACTACAGATGAATGAATTTGTGAAAATCTGAAGTCAGTCATTTGTGCAGAGTTAGGACTTACTGGTAGGCCAAGTGACTTATTCTAACAGCAAAAGACATGCCTCTTTTTGTAATGTTTTCGTTTGTTTTTAGAAGATATTTCAGTTGCATTTCCTCCAAAGCTTAATAAGCCTATTGTTGTTGCTGTATTATTGTTTTTTTCTTCGTCCTACTTGATGGGATTTTGAATTTAGCTAGACTTGAGAATTCATTCAAAATGAGGACCTCTTTGCTTGGGGGTGAGAGGAGAAAGTGCTTCTCTCCCAGGGTTTGCCATGACTCAGCTGAGACACTGAGCAAATGACTCCATGTCTCCTCGCTTTGGCTTCCCTATTTGTAAAGCAGTTTTAATAATACCTGGGACTGCTGCCTGTGAAATCATTTTATCCCCTCAGAAGAAATGAGCTATCAAAATACAATATGTGATTAGGCAACACACAGCTTTTGATTTGTCCTCAGGTGCCAAGTTTAGCAATAATTTTTGGCCAACGTTCTGAAGAAATAATTTGATTTTCACAATCACTTGGGCTAACCAGCCCATGATGACCACAGCTGCTATGTGTATGAATAAAATACAAATTCTTCTCCAGCCTGCCAGCTCTCATTGTTCCAGGCTGCTAAATATGTAGATGGTTGTTTAACCTCACTTTTTTTTTTTTTTTTGGGGGGGGGAGTCTTGTCTCATCAGATATGCATTATAAGAAATAATCTTAAGATTTGTTTCAACATTAAAGTGACATTCTCATCTACTCTCCAATCATCGGGATAAAGCAAAAAACCCATCAGAAGTTGTTCCTGATTGCTCATTATCTTTCAAAATATAAACGTGTGTGAGAGAGCGCTCCTTTCTCCCCATTGTTAGAAATAGCTAACGATGTCTTATAAGATGCTTTGCACGCAAAAGGGTTCCAAAACCCTTTGCAACTGCACAGATAAACAGGAATTACTTCACTGGCCATTGAAATGTGGCCACTTCTTGGACGAAATGCGGCAGCTGTTTAATAATGCATAGCAACATTCCAAAACAGTTGAGGCCTGGAAGAGAGGGGCAGACTTGCATCCAACTCAAATCACCTGGGAAGTTTCCTGGGCCCAGTGGTGTTGGGGAAGGAGCTTAGTTGTAACCGCAAGAAGCTCGGACATCAGTTTTATGTCTTCCTAGGAAGGCCAGCTCCGTTCTGTTCAGCACTGGCTCCCCGTCACCTGCTAAATCATCCAGATCCCAGACCGCAAGCTGATGGATGGACCTCTGAAGTGTGGCCAGCTTTCTACACCAACTGACACAGGAGAACAGGGCAGCATGGAGGGGGCCTTGACTGACAGCCATGGTGGCCTGGCCCCTGCAACAGTATTGGAAGTGGGAGTGGCTCTGGGTGATGGAATGCGGAAAGTCATCTCTTCCTTGTGGTTACTCTAAAGTTTGTTTTCCAGTGGCAGAAATGTTGCTCAGGGCTGGTGCCATGGCTCACTTGGTTAATCCTCTGCCTTTCTTGCCGGCATCCCATATGGGTGCCGGGTTTTAGTCCCAGCTGGTCCTCTTCCAGTCCAGCTCTCTGCTGTGGCCCACGAAGGCAGGGGAGGATGGCCCAACTGCTTGGGTCCCTGCACCTGCATGGCAGACCAGGAAGAAGCACCTGGCTCCTGGCTTTGGATCAGCATAGCTCAGGCTGTGGCGGCCATTTGAGGGGTGAACCAACGAAAGGAAGACCTTCTCCTTTCTCTATGTCTCTCTTTCACTGTCTAACTCAAATTAAAAAAAAAAAAAGAAATGTTGCTCACAATTCCTCAAGCTTGAGCCTAGATCATGTTTCATATTGATCTATTCCTACAGGATCTCAAATGAGAACAGAAAAAGAGTCTTTTTTTTTTTTTTTCAGACCAAAATTTTATCAGCAAGAATTGCTTCTCCTTTAGGCAAAGGAACTTCATTTACAAGATCTGGTTGGCAAATCAAAAGTTGATGATCACTTGTATGGCCTTACAGTTTCTGTGGTCTCCCATCCAGTGTGATTATTTTTGTGACTGGAATAAGGGAGTCGCTAAAACATGTCATAAATCATGGGGTACGGCAAAAGCAGCGCTTACAGGGAGATGGATAGCTGTCAGTACATCCATTGAAAAAAAGAAAGACCTCAATTTAATAATGTAACTGTAGGCATTGAGGAACTAGAGAAAGAAGAGAAAATTAAACCCCAAATCAGCAAAGGGGAGAAAATAACACACATTACACCAGAGGTTAATAAGATAGAGAACAGAAAAATAGTAGAGAAAGTTAGTAAGAACAAAAGTCGGATATTTGGCAGGATGCGCACGGTTGACAATCTTTTAGCTAGAAGAGAGCTCAGCCATGGTGGGCTTGTTCTTTCCTTTCCAGGAGCTTGCTGGTGTTAGACTGGCCTCCTTGCTCTTAGGCTCTGTAAGTCTTTGCAGCACTGACTTGGATGATGAACAGTTCACAGAGGATCCAAGTTCTCTCCTGGAAGGCCATGTGATACGGGTCAACTGAAACTATTTTCTACACACTGAGTGAGAAGGTACTTCAAAACATCTTAAGATATGGAAGATGGAATTAAAAGATAAGATTAGGAGTCAGCATTGTGGTGTAGCAGGTAAAGTTGCCAGCTGGGATGCCCACATCCCACATTAGTGCCAGTTCGAGTCCCAGATACTCTGTTCATATTCTAGCTCCCTGCTAAACTAACCTCTGCACCCACAAGGGAGACCTGGATGGAGTTCCTGGTTGCTGGCTTTGGTGTGGCCCAGCCCTGGCTGTTGCAGTCATTTGGGATGTGAACCAGCAGATGGAAGATCTCTCTCCTCTTTGTCACCCTGTCTTCCAAATCAATCAAGAACTCTTTTTAAAAAAGATAAATTTATTTTGCTGCAAAACAAAGTTGAAATTCATCCATACGGGGTGTCCTCAAAAAGTTCATGAAAATGCATATTATCAAGAATCCGTGCATGGGTTGTGTAACTTTTGTCTCCAAAATAAATTCATCTTTTAATTCCATTTTCCATGAACTTGTTAATGCGCTCTCAGATTCCTCCATGAAAAAAAAGAGGAACATTGACTGCAATCTCACAGTGGAAAAGAGCAGCCCGGGGCTGGGGTGGAGGCTGGCGGGTAGAGCCCAGCTTTAGTAAAACGAGGAGGAAAATGCCAGTGGAGGGGTGACATTTATAGAATGATTGTCTGGCCAAGGTCTTGGCTCAAGGCCTTGGCTGGTGAAGCCATCGCCTTTCCCTGCCCTGAATCACTCCGTGAGCCCAGCAATTCTGTCTTCTCAAAATGCAGGAACCAGGGCTGTTGTTCCCACTCACCCTATGCTGGTGACAGCTCTGATTCTCCATGGAAAATTCCACATTTCCCAACGAGGTCCAAATTAAATATTGACTTTACTAATTTAAAATTATTTTGCCCGTAGACAAATGTACTTTTATGAGGACATTCTGAAGAAATGTTTTGACTGATCACTAAGATACTACTCCAGCACGAGGCTTCGTGGGGGTGGGGTTCCGGGCAGCTGGAGACGTGAGCCTGCAAGTCACTCTCTCTGGAGGAGCAGCAGAAGCCTCACCCCTGCAAACACCATCCCTGAGCAGGCCCTGGGAGAAACTGCTGTGCTGTCTTAGAATACTTGGAGCCTTATGACTCTTTCTGATTGCCCAGCTCTGCTTTGGATGCCTAGCCTTTCCCTCCTGGCCGATCCCAGAACACTGTCAATGGCCCCTTCTCCAGTATTTTTGTTTAATCTAATCCACTCTCTTCTGCATTTCTACAGTGTCTCAAAAGACAAAATTTCAACAAATTGAGTTAAAGATTGAATTGGTTTTTATTCACCATTGGTAAATCATGCGGCATCCAGCCTGAGACAGACGGGAGCCCCGTGGGGTGTGGCAGAACACTTGGTTTTTATGAGGCAGATTGAACAGGAACCTGGAGGAAATGGCAGGAAACAAAAAGAGCACTGGTGGCACTGGTGCTGTGGCGTAGTGGGCTA